TCTGATGAAGATTAAAGGTGACCTGGAACCATAAGCTATAGCACCCCAAACCATAACTCCAACAGTGTGATGAACAGGTATTTCAACAAAAAACTGTGGATTCCTCCTTTCACCACGTCGCCTTCTAACCCTGGCACGACCATCGTGCATGCCTAAACAAAATCGAGACTCGTCACTAAAGACAATACTGTTCCATTCCTGATCCCAGAGTGACCGTTGTCTGCAGCACTCAAGGCGATTACGTCGGTGTTCTCGAGTTAAAGGGAGGACCCAGTGTGACCGGTATGAAAATAAGCCAAAACTTCTCATTCGTCGGTAAACACTTCGCATGCCAATAGGTCTTCTGCGTTCTGGTAGTGGAGAAACGGTCCCTTAAGGCCAATAATCTTAGGCGGCGATCTTCACGGTCTCTTGTTCTACGGCGGCGTCCAGTGCCCGTTGCTCTTTGCGTACGGCCTTCTCGAAGTCATGCCTGACAACACCTAACCACAGTGTCTACACTTCTTTGCACTCTAACTGCAATTGCCCGAAAAGAAAGTCCAGCTTCCCGAAGTCCCACTATACGGCCCCTATCAAACTCACTAAGTTGATGAAATCGTACAGGTCTCCGCACTCTAGGCATCGTAACCGATCGTAAAGGATGTCAAGAACCAAAATCCGCCAACGTTGATTCTCTACTGCGGCTGAAATATTCATTTTTAGAGCGTTAGTGAATTAAAAAAAGCAGTATAAAAACCGGAATATCCAACTGATAAGGCTGAACATTTTTTCACTTGTTATTTACAATAAGATAAATACATTCACCAACTTTTATTAAAATAAAACCATTTAAACTGGGTGTTCGGATTTATATGTCACTTAGTATATATTTAAAGCAAAAATGTAAATAACCGAAGTAAAAAAGAAAACTGGTGTAATTTCCAGAAAGTAAAAAGTGCAAAAGAAAACATATACTCAAAAGTGCAACTCAACGCAATACGGAAGTCAATATACAGGGTGTTTCACAACTTATCCGGCAAATTTTAACCACATATGCACTGTTAGGAAAGAAGTGGATTTCTCAAAAAAAAATGTAATAAATGTCCTACATACATTAAGTTATAAACCTGAGTTTCAATAATAAATTAAAAAATTGCGTTCATCGTCGTGATATTAGAACACGCTTTAATAATGTATTGTAGCAAATGTACCAAACAACTGACGAAAACAAAATACCAGGAATTTTTTGTTTTTTCATACTGATAAGAACGTGTAAATAAGGTTTGATCTGTATCATGGGTGATCTGAAAGAAGAACGGTCGATTTTTGTGGAGTTAAATAGGAAAATATTTTGCGAGTTTATGTTTTTAGTTATTTATTAATAAAAATGGCACTAATGAGCAGTTAGTGGACATTGTTTTAGCGTACGGAGAAGCAGGGCAAAAATCGCGAGCGGCTTCTCGTTTGTATACACACCGATTTCCGAATAGTCACACACCATATCACAAAAGATTTAGTTCAATTGTTTTACGTGCACGTGCTAGTGGAGATTAGCGCCCAAGCGTGCATTGCAGTCAATGGAAACAATTTTGAACAGCTTTTATAAGTAAGTGAACTGTTAAACTGTATTATTTTATTATCTCGATTTCTGTAGGACTTTTATTACATTTTTTTTTTTTGATAAATCAGCTTCTTTCGTAACAGTGGCAGATGATAGAATAGCACTCAATGGATCAGCAACGATATCACAATTATTAGACATAACATGGAAATTTTAAATACGACATGCAACGGCGAATTGACCTCTAAGTTGGTATTCCATCTTATCAATCTGAAAAAATCAGATGAGCGCGAAGTACTTGGAAGAACGTTAAAATTGAATTTGAAATAGTAGATCTATGATACCATAACAAGGCTCGTGAAGGGTTGAAACCGAATTCTTGATTCTTCTTCTCAAATCGTAGCAATTTTGAAACCTTTTTGACGGTTACGAAAAACCGTTATTCTTTTCAAGGACACGGGTCGATGAGAATTCCGGAAAATTACGATTTTACTTAGAATCTTCAAAAAGAAATACGCCTGGGTAACATACAGAAATCATTAGATTTCTTACATCGCAGAATGACGCCGACAGCTCCGGTGTGATTCGTACGAAATAAAATACCAAAACATCCCCCAAAATTTAGAATTGGTTTCCCTCGATGTACCGGCGACCTCCGACCTCCGACATATCGCTTGAACAAATAGTTATACGTAAATCCATCTAGCACCCTTACAAAGTGAACGTTCTCCGTCTTGGCAAACAGCCGTCACTTAGGGGGCTAACCGACCTCTTTATAACACCCCCTCCAGAGCCACTCTCTTACCCTGCACGCTCAACCGAGATGGATGGAAAAAGTAGGTTATCCGTACGAAAACAGGGTGTACTTAGTTGTTTTCGCAGCTGAAAGTTTTGTTATTAATCACTGGAAAGTTAATTATAGCAAATTAGGTCAGGAGGGACCGAATAGTTGGGATTGTCAATTAGGCGAGGGTGAGGTATCTTCGTACATTAATGTGAAAAATTGGCGTCAAGTAACCAGTTTCTGTAGTTGTAGTATTTAATTTGATGAGTCCTTGAGCACAAAATCAAAATAAAAATGTTGAAATGAGAATGAAATACATATTTGTATATTACAAATCTATACTAAGTGACATATAAATCCGAACACCCAGTTTTAAATGGTTTTATTTTAATAAAAGTTGGTGAATGTATTTATCTTACTGAAAATAACAAGTGAAAAAATTTTCAGCCTTATCAGTTGGACATTCCGGTTTTTATACTGCTTTCTTTAATTCACTAACGCTCTAAAAATGAATATTTCAGCCGCAGTAAAGAATCAACGTTGGCGGATTTTGGTTCTTGACATCCTTTACGATCGGTTACGATGCCTAGAGTACGGAGACCTGTACGATTTCGTCAACTTAGTTAGTTTGATAGGTGCCGTATAGTGGGACTTCGGGAAGCTGGACTTCTTTTCGGGCAATTGCAGTTAGAGTGCAAAGAAGTGTAGACACTGTGGTTAGGTGTTGTCAGGCATGGCTTCGAGAAGGCCGTACGCAAAGAGCCAGGGGCACTGGACGCCGCCGTAAAACAACAGACCGTGAAGATCGCCGCCTAAGATTATTGGCCTTAAGGGACCGTTTCTCCACTACCAGGTCCATTGCAAATGAATGGTTTGCAGACCTATTGGCATGCGAAGTGTTTACCGACGAATGAGAAGTTTTGGCTTGTTTTCATACCGTCCACACTGGGTCCTCCCTTTAACTCGATAACACCGACGTAATCGCCTTGAGTGGTGCAGACAACGGTCACTCTGGGATTAGGAATGGAACAGTATTGTCTTTAGTGACGAGTCTCGATTTTGTTTAGGCATGCATGATGGTCGTGCCAGGGTTAGAAGGCGACGTGGTGAAAGGAGGAATCCACAGTTTTTTTTTGAAAGACATGTTCATCACACTGTTGGAGTTATGGTTTGGGGTGCTATAGCTTATGGTTCCAGGTCACCTTTAATCTTCATCAGAGGTAACATGAACGCGCAGCGTTATATCCACGAAGTCCTAGAACCCCATCTTTTACCCTATCTTGACACCCTGGCAGATCCAACTTTCCAACAAGATAATGCTCGACCACATGTTGCAAGAGTCACAATAGACTTCTTTCAACATAATGATGTCACATTGTTACCATGGCCACCAAGATCTCCAGACTTATCCCCAATTGAGCACGTGTGGGATATGATGGGTAGGAGATTGCTCAATTTGCAACGTCCTCCTCAGACTCTAAAAGCACTTCGAGAGGAGTTGGTGGTTGCCTGGAATGAGATACCACAGGAGGACATTGACCACCTGATCACGCATGCCTAGGCGCGTTGGAGAATGCGTAGCACATCAAGGTGCATCCTCACATTATTAAAGGTCAAAGGACTTTAAAGCAGTGCAATCATTTTGAAATTTTTATCATTTACTTATTATGCTTCATTAAGTACTTATACAAAATTTTATTAAATAAAACCATTTAAACTGGGTGTTCGGATTTATGTCACTTAGTATATTTGTCTACATGGAGGCAAATCAAACAAATACCAGGCAACCTTTTACTTCTTCTTGGAGGATATCCTCGCGAGTATAAGGTAATCATTATGAATATGAAAACAAGGATATGCTTATACTTCTACCTTTTTCTCCGAAGCAAGACCTTATACTTTTACCTTACGCTTCCGAGGATATGCTTCTCTTTTATGAGTACGGCTCTATGAGTTATTCGAAAGAAGTGTTTGATTATTTAATAACCTGGCAAATATAAGTCTCTGGCAGCCAATCTGGACAGGTAATTATTCCTCACTCGACGACATGATTATAGCAATACCTCTAAATCTTGATCGACAACTAACATTGTACACCCCGTACAAAAAAAATGCAGACTTATCGTGACTTGTCTTGCAAGCGAAACCGTAAACACCGATATCAAAGTAAATACTTATAGTTATGATACGGAATAAGTAAATACTTACAAGAAAACTTAAATGTAGGAGGTTTTTCCAGTATTAACTTGTATTTATTCAAATAAAAATGAGAAATACCTTGTGCTTATTGATATCAATTTCTTCTATTTGACTTGGTTCCTTATTGTGCCTTTTGGCATGCCCAAAGGAGGTTCTGGGCCTGTATAGGGTGGAGATGATCCTTTCCTTGCGAGCTCATCCCCCATTTCATTTGCCGCGTTACCCGAGTGTCCTGGTACCCATATCAGAGTTACTCTGTTGTGTTCCGCCAGTGCAGATGTCACTGTATGACTTCTTAACACTGCATATTCTATAGTTTAAAATAACTAATTTAGCAACAAAATATAAATAGACAAACCACAGCGCCTTACTGAAGTAAGTTTTCCGCAAGCACTTCTATTTTCTAAATTATTATCACCCAAAAAATTCAGCGAACACACAAGACAATTTTCTGTATCACGTCTTCAGGCTATCCGTTTAAAGTACGGATGCCTGTTGCTTGAAACTTGACGTCCTATTCTTCTGGAACACATACTCAAAATGATACAATCCCCCCGGGTGAATATTGATCCTGTACGCGAAAGCGCCGAGGAGTCTTTCTAGCTTTGCCGCATATGCCCTCAGAGGAAAGTGATTCGTCAAATAAGGATTCGAATGAATAGGGGAGCTTGTCATCGTATGCCGCTGGAGGATATTATTTCCACGCCGTTGTTTTCTTTCATTGCTGGACTTGAAAAAGTTATGTAGAATATTAAAAAATCCGTCAAGTTGAAGTACGTGTTCTCCACAGTCTTATCATATTATAGGTCTATTGATAACAATGCACTTGCTTAGGTACTACGAGCCCCTTCCCACTTCAGTTGGCCCACTTCAAGATTTGTACGAAAATATGCCTTATAAACTAAACACGACAAAACTATTTACTTCTAAAACAATTTATTTTCTCAAAAACATTTCAGATACACTCTAGTCGTAAAAAATACATATTTGAAATCACGCAGACCTATAACTAATGAACAAATAAACAATGTGCGAATAAATGCGCGAAGTTAACAAAGCAACAATTGAAAGATTACCATTGGGTAACATCACCTTTATTTTTTATTATGGCTGAAATTCTTTGGGACATAGTGTTAACCAAGTTTTGGCAAATATTTGGTGTAAAACAATCCCATATTTCTTGAAGCTTTTGTCTCAGTTCGGTGATTGTACGAGCAGGATGTTGTCGTAGAACCTTTTTCATCTCGTGCCACAAAGTTTCAATAGGTGACAGATCTGGACTGCTAGAAACCCATTTCAAAAGTGGTACATTATTTTCTTCCATCCATTTTATAGTCTTTTTGAGGTATGGCACGCTGCACCATCTTGCTGAAACACAAAATTTTGGCTGGATGTCAAACATTCTTCCATCACCATTCTTCTGAAATTGCCAAATATTTGTTTGTATCCACATTTCCATCAATAAATAAAGTTTTCCTACTTCTTTTGATATCATACTGCCCCACACCATAATGGACGCTTGAAATTTCACTTTCTCTTCAGACAGTCAACATGGAATGCTTCATTTTTTTTGCGAATAACTCTACTGCGACTATCACCAACACAAACTTCGAATTGGGCCTCATCACTCCATTGTATTGCACACCATTGTTGAGGTGTCGATTGTCTATGTTCTTTAGCCCATCTAAGCCGATTTTTCTTTTGCAGTGGAGTTAATAGTGGCTTCTCTTTGGCCTATAAACAAGTTGTGCAACTTTAGGGTTTATACTTCACTTTTTTTATAAGAAAGCTTACCTTGCAAGTGCTAAATCCCAGTTTGTGGGCCTCTCTATGAGTTGTGCATCTCGAAATTCTCCTTCCAACAGTGTCACTCCACAGAGCACTTAATTGTAAATAATTGGCACGCATGTTTTTCACAATTATTCTTCTTAATGCTCTTCGGTCGGCATTTGTGATATTACTTTTTTCCACATATCGTGGCTTAATATATATACTAAGTGACATATAAATCCGAACACCCAGTTTAAATGGTTTTATTTTAATAAAATTTTGTATAAGTACTTAATGAAGCAAAGTAAATGATAAAAATTTCAAAATGATTGCACTGCTTTAAAGCCCTTTGACCTTTAATAATGTGTGGATGCACCCTGATGTGCTACGCATGCTCCAACGCTCCTAGGCATGCTTCTGATCAGGTGGTCAATGTCCTCCTGTGGTATCTCATTCCAGGCAACCACCAACTCCTCTCAAAGTGCTTCTAGAGTCTGAGGAGGACGTTGCAAATTGAGCAATCTCCTACCCATCATATCCCACACGTGCTCAATTGGGGATAAGTCGGGAGATCTTGGTGGCCATGGTAACAATGTGACATCATTATGTTGAAAGAAGTCTATTGTGACTCTTGCAACATGTGGTCAGGCATTATCTTGTTGGAAAGTTGGATCTGCCAGGGTGTCAAGATAGGGTAAAAGATGGGGTTCTAGAACTTCGTGGATATAACGCTGCGCGTTCATGTTACCTCTGATGAAGATTAAAGGTGACCTGGAACCATAAGCTATAGCACCCCAAACCATAACTCCAACAGTGTGATGAGCATGTCTTTCAACAAAAAACTGTGGATTCCTCCTTTCACCACGTCGCCTTCTAACCCTGGCACGACCATCGTGCATGCCTAAACAAAATCGAGACTCGTCACTAAAGACAATACTGTTCCATTAATAATCACAGAGTGACCGTTGTCTGCACCACTCAAGGCGATTACGTCGGTGTTCTCGAGTTAAAGGGAGGACCCAGTGTGGCCGGTATGAAAACAAGCCAAAACTTCTCATTCGTCGGTAAACACTTCGCATGCCAATAGGTCTTCGGTGTTCTGCAAACCATTCATTTGCAATGGACCTGGTAGTGGAGAAACGGTCCCTTAAGGCCAATAATCTTAGGCGGCGATCTTCACGGTCTGTTGTTCTACGGCGGCGTCCAGTGCCCCTTGCTCTTTGCGTACGGCCTTCTCGAAGCCATGCCTGACAACACCTAACCACAGTGTCTACACTTTTTTGCACTCTAACTGCAATTGCCCGAAAAGAAAGTCCAGCTTTCCGAAGTCCCACTATACGGCCCCTATCAAACTCACTAAGTTGACGAAATCGTACAGGTCTCCGTACTCTAGGCATCGTAACCGATCGTAAAGGATGTCAAGAACTAAAATCCGCCAACGTTGATTCTTTACTGCGGCTGAAATATTCATTTTTAGAGCGTTAGTGAATTAAAAAAAAGCAGTATAAAACCGGAATGTCCAACTGATAAGGCTGAAAATTTTTCACTTGTTATTTACAGTAAGATAAATACATTCACCAACTTTTATTAAAATAAAACTATTTAAACTGGGTGTTCGGATTTATATGTCACTTAGTATATTAACTGAACCAGTTACGTTATATCTTCTAACAATATTTCTCACACTGTACCGCAATAAATCTAACAAAGTTGCAATTTCTGAGTTTGATTTCCCAGAATTAAAAATTTTAATTAACAGTAACCGAATTTTCTCACTAATAACCCTTCCTCTACCCATTTTGAAAACCTTAACTACCCAAAACTATTTTAAACGTATTCTGACAGCTGTGATTAATAAAAACAATTGTGATGGCTTTTATTTTTCACAGCCACCCATGCGTTAGGTATAGACTTATTTTGCATTGAAATGAAAATAGGTTGATATGCTGTAATTGCAACATGTGTTATTTTTGTGCTGCAAATTTGATTAGGGAAGTTGGTGTTTTCTACTATATATTATCAAAATATTCATTGTTAATATTTTAAACCTATAACACCCTGCTACATTGTTATTATTTGTGTTTGATAAGAAAAATACTAAAATACAGTGAAAAAATGACTGATGCCTACAGAAAATTTTGCTCACAAATACTCCCATTAGAGATCAAATATAACGGCGTGTTTGTATTACAAGAAACTTGCTTTTGGGCATGGATTTCGGCTTTTTTATTATTACAAGCTTTTATTTAACTTGTCCTGTGCTTTTTTAAAAATAAGGCAGAACAATGTGCCGTCTATTACCAAAATCGACCACAACGAAAGTGAAAAAACCAATTTTCGGAAACTCAAATTTATAAACTTCTGGTATAATTTTTTTTCATTTTATTGTTTAATTTTTTGCTTAATATTTTCGATATATCTTCATGTGTTTTTTGGTTTTTCGATACAGTATGTGAGTGTTCTTTACGGGAGTTTGGGACATTCAATTTTAAATATTCAGAGATTCGGACCTGTTACTTTGGCTGAAATTTATGAGGGCTGATTTTTTTAAGAAGCATAAGCTTACCCGTGCTGGTTAACCTATTTAATTCCTGCATACAAAAGGGCATTTTTCCTGCCCAATGGAGAACGGCTGTGGTCCTGCTGCTGCCTAAAATTAGCAGTCCTAAGGATGTCTCTGATTTGCGACCAATTAGTATACTACCAGTGCTGTCTAAAGTTTTTGAAAAGCTTATTTATAGGCAAATCATTACTTATTTCACAGATAATAATTTATTACCCAAGTTGCAGTCTGGATTCCGTAAAGGGTTTGGTACTACCACGGCTCTGTTGAAGGTTCTAGATGACATTCTTTTGGCTGCGGACCGGGGTGAAACTTCGGCATTGGTGTTGTTGGACTTTAGCAAGGCCTTCGATACCCTGAACCATGCATTGCTGTGTGCAAAACTTTTGTACTATGGATTTAAACTTAAGATTATTCAACTTATTCGTAGTTATTTGGATGACAGATCGCAGTCGGTCTCAATTGATGGGCTTAAATCAAAACCCTTGAACGTGGATAGAGGAGTACCTCAGGGATTACTTTTGGGTCCTTTATTTTTTATCATTTTTACTGCTGATATGTCGAAGTGCTTTGGTGACATAAACAATCATAGATACGCTGACGATACACAGATTCAGCTTTCTTTTGTTGAGTCGGACGCAATTGAAGCGGCTAGGAGGCTAAACGAGTGTTTGGATTCAGTTTTCAAATACTCTTTTAATCATGGCTTGAAATTGAATCCTAATAAATCAGCCATAATCTACTTTGGGCCAGCTAAAGATTGGGCGTCTGTAAACTTGATGATAGCAATGGATGTTGTGGCAATACCGGTTGTTGAGGAATATAAAAATTTGGGCGTTATCTTTGATAACAAGCTTAGGTTCCGAAGTCATGTGTCTAGACTTCTACAAAAAGCCTATTTTAACCTTCGCAATATTTACAAAAGTAAAGATATTCTTAAGTTTAAGTTAAAAAAGGTTCTCTGCGAAGCACTGGTCTTGTGTCACCTTAACTATTGCAACTTTGTGTATGGTCCTTGCTTAGATGTATTTACTAAGGATAAACTCCAAAAAGTGTAGAATTCTTGCATACGACTTATTTACCAGCTTAGACGTCACGATCATGTCAGGTCCGAACTGAAATGGCTGAATGTTTCCAATCGAGAAAAGCTGCATTTTGCTTGCTTTCTTCATAAATTGATTAAAACTAAAAGCCCTCCATATCTGTTTGAAAAATTAGCTCGTAGAAATCTGATTCACTCTCGTGCAACACGCTTTAATGTACTTTATGAAATACCTAAAATAACTAAAACCATGACTCAAAGCTCATTTTCCTATACATCAGTCAAACTTCTAAACCAATACAATATAGGTCAATTTGAAGATATGTCTCCTAATATGTTCAAACGAAAACTGAA